ATCTAGCACTGGTTTGTAGACCATGTCAGAATCTGGAATTACAAAGTGTTTCTTTCCTCTTAAAATTCAATCATGCTGTCCAAATAATCCTGACATAGTCTAGCCAGGGCTCAACAAGGGTGGGTTTCACTCCCTACAAGGATAAATAAGTAACTTACAGGGATTTGTGTTATTCTGCAATATAGTGAGGCCTGTCTGAGTCAACAGGTCATTCATTCTTCTTGGCTTCTTACCCTGGAACTGACCCTGAGTTCATTTTAATTGTTACTCAGTACAGCCTGTGATAAACACACATACACTCACACTTTCGTTTGCTTCCCAATTGTGTGGTGAGGTAAAAATCAAAGCAGAGTGACTAACTGATGGCTTTGCAATTCAACTATATTAAAATGTAATCAACAACACCAAGCAAAGCTGAAGTATGTTGGCGAGGGATTTTGCAATAGAAAAACAGTTGAGTTACCTCCTCTGGTATCTTGGGAGCAGCTGGTACCAAATTCTCCCTCCCTTTTTCTTTCCCATCAGCACCTGGCCAAAGACCTCCATGACTTTGCACCCTGATACACCTGGGAGTCAAAAGAGTGTAGGTAACACAGCAAGGGAAGCAGTAGCACCAGAGACAGCCACTAACTCTGCCTGAGCAACAATTCTTCTTAAGCAACCAGGGTGCCATGCCTAATTCTCTCCAGGATGGTGGTCTCCCACCTTCTCACAAACCTTACAGAGGGTCACCCCAGTGCCTGTCCCAGGGGTGCACAATCACAAACATCATCTTCATGACTGCCTCCAATCTGCCAGTGATGATTACCAGGCTAGATGAAGTGAATGGAATGTTCTAGCTGGATCCTTGGTAATTGGGACTCAAGAGCCAATCAGTTCAGGTAGTTGTTCCCACCTTCACAAATGGGAATGTGGGAGCCTCAGAAACCACCTGCTAAATACAGGCCAAACCCAGCAACATGTAAAGCTGTGGTATAGTAAATTGATGACAATTCTTGTCTTGGGAATGAGAGTATTTTAGGGTGGGAAGAGTTGGCAAAACTGGCAAAGACATAAATTATGCCCAAAGCATAAGCCTAGAGGAATTGGTCGTTCTGTCTCAGGTGGCCTTTGCCATTTCATGGAACCAATTAATTAGCCAAGAGCAGTTCATTAAAGCCAACCAGACGTCCTCAGTCATGAGTAGTCCATCTTCTTTTTGATGCAAATTCTTTTTATTGCCTCCTATTCAACCAGTTGGTTATGGCATGCCCATATGCAATATTCAACACTGATGCTGGAGAGATGAGACTGGCAGCAGTCTATCAGTCACATACTCACAGCCCAGGATAGGAGGTCACTGCATGCCACACAAGGCTACATGGGAGCTGCACTCAGAACGGAGTGAACAACCAAGGGCTGTGTGAGGCAGGCCTTGTAGCATCAGGAGAGTGAGGTAACCCCTGGTTAATGTGACAGAATGTAACTTGCTCGGAATACTTCCACGGGCTGGCAAAGAAATGAAAGCCACTACTCAGAGATAAGCAGGAACTGTGCCTGGTGCTCTTGATGAGGGCAGTTGTATGGCTTCGGCACTTTACTGTGGGAGCAGAGTGGGGAGGGCAACTTGTGGTTAAGCCATTTAAGCCCACCTCCCAGGTTCACCTGACATTAAAGCAGCATGTAATATCTAATGTTGGGCCTTAATTTTGGACTCCGTATATTAACATTTATGGTGATCAATAAAACTAGTATATTGGGGGACCTCTTATTGAGTGTCTACTACATGACAAGCATGTATCATCAATGAACAGAACTAAGACTCCTATTCACAGGGAGTTTCCATCTGGTGGCATGATTCTTTCTGAATATTCCCTTAGCACATATATTATTGAGTAGATAAAAGGAAAAAGAAAATAATGAAGTTCCTTATCTTTTCTCATCTCTTAACCAAGAGATTTCAAAAGGTTTGTTAACAAGAGGACTTTCTGAAGATCCCGAGTTTCTTTCATTTTGTTGTTTCAGTGTTCTTGGTAAAGCAACATGACAACCTGAAGTGAAGCACGTACACTCTATCTCTATGAAAAATACAGTCAGCACTGATTTTTGACCAGGATGCTTGAAATAATACAAAGATTCACCTCTCCTTCTTCCCCAAATCTCAAATAAATAAGAGAAATATACAAACCAAAATAGATCCAATGCAGCACTGAGTATCATGGGGATGGAGTGGGGTTGTCTGCTACTGACAGATCAGAGAAAATCGGAATTTACTATACGACATAAAGCTTGTGAAAAAACTATTAGTGGTGAAACAGAAAAGATCAGAGTCATTTTTAAAAGAACCGCTGGCCAACACCAACTGAATGTAGTAGAGGCTGGAGGGTGCTACAGATAGAAGGCTATGAACAAGAGAATTCAATAAGGGACTACAGAACTTCAGAGGCTGTCTGTCATTCAGGACAAAGATGTACGTAAGTGGACGTTCTAACCCAGAAAAACAAGGGAAGTGGCCAGGAAACATATAGCCTGGGAAGGACAAAATGCAGCCCCCCAACACAAAAAAGCAGCTCCACAAGTACTGCCCCCGCCCATGCCCCTCACCCTCTCCTCCACAAAATCCCGGGAGGCAGACAGGGCTCCTCGCCCCAGAGGCTGAATTCACTACTTCTTATTATATGACCAGTTTTTGAGTGGTACAAAGATAATCTGTGGTCACTCATCAAGTATAAGCAGTGAAAGAATTACTTTTCAAAGTTCAAAATATGTAATTCAAGAGCTACTAAAGAATACCTAAAACTCTCATGAGAAACTGATAAGTGTAAGCTTAATTTATTTCTTAGATAAAAATTTATTTCACACATATATATGTATCACTTAGGATTGTGTTCTCTATAGATAACAGAAAATGCTACAACAGTGGCTTCAAAGAAGCCTGTGGAGTAATTATCTAGCCCTGTTAAGCATCTGAATGATGCCAGCAGTGTTCTCAACAGTTTTCCTGTCAGCTCGTATTTTCCTCCTATTTTCCACACATTCTTCATCCAAAAAGGATGCTGCACCTCTGGGTCTCAGTGTTTGAGTTTCAGGTAGGAAAAGGAGGAGGCAGAAGTCTTAGTGCCTGGATTACAAAAGCAGAGGCTTTGCCAGAAACTTCCATATGACCAGAACTATGTTACATGGACACTGCTACCTGAAGGAGACTTTAGAAAAATCATTTCTACTACTAAAGATTGAGCTGAAGTAGACAGAGTTGAGACAGACAAGGAAGGGGGAAGGGTCTAGGAAGAGGCTGAGGCAGTTTCATTTACTAGCACTGTAGGTTTGCTTACTGCTTTATCCCTCCAGTGACTGTTTTAAAGACTCTGATGTTTACCTATTAACTTTCACCATGCAGAATAATTGCACCTGGAGTTGGATCCAAGGAATTCAGTGGAACCAAAGAAAGCGGGCTTTGGAATCCGGAGGACGTGACTAAGAATCTCATGTCCAACACCTACCTGATGTGTGCAGGGTGTGCATTTGGTTTTTCTCTTTAAAAGAGTTTCCTTGGTTTTCAATTTTTTTTAAGTATATTAAACGCCTCTTAGTTGTGTCCATGAACCCTGCATTTCCCTGTTACACGTAACAGTAGGGCAAGCCCACATCTGGCACATGTGCCAAAAACAAAGTCACACAAGTTACTTGACTACTCTCAACTTGCTTCCTCTCTCTGTAAAATGGGAGGATGGTCGCTTCATTGGACAGCTGTGAGGATGCTTCAAGACCACCTAAGTAAACTAAAAACTTATCCCCCTGGAAATGTACATTTTAAATGAGAAATTACTTTGCAGGATAGCCTTACAAATAGCTTATTTTTTGAAATGACTGTCAATTCACAAAAATACCATCAAATCTAAGTTTCCAGGTCTGTCCCAAACTGCTTGTCATAGGGGAAACCAGTCTAAAATCGCTACCTGTGACAATCCCACAGCTTTGGTCGGGCTTTCTTTCTTTCTTAAGAATTATGCAATGCTTAGCATTTGACCAACCTAGAAATTAGAATTATTCTATTCTACAACTGTATTTATAACTAAGTGATTGTTGACTTTTTATTTTAATTCAAAGTTACCCTAACTTCCTCCAAGTCTCTAATTTACATTGTGGAGCTGAGGTAACCTAGTACATTAGGAACACAGCAAACAAATTATTGAAACATGAATCTGTTTGCACTTACAAGTTAAGTTTTCATCCATCTAGAAAGGTGTAGTGAACATATCACCTCAAACTGTGTTGGATTTTTTAAAGTTAAATTAGAAGGTGTTAAAAGATTTCTTTCACAAAATACAGCAAGCATTGAACAATTTTTTAAAAAGAACATAGTTTTTGTGGTGTAACCTGTTACCAAAATATTCTTTCTGGAATTGTGAGACTCATTGCTTGCTGGCTTGCTTGCTTTTTTGTTGTATTTTGATTGGTTTCTGTATTTCTCCTTGTGTGTGTTCTTCAGTCTCTAGGGATACGGAATACAATCTCAAATTATAGTACTGAAGTAAAGAGTTTCAGTCAAACTGTTTCTCACAGGAGTCGAAAGAAAGTCAGTGGAGAAAGTGCATTGTAAACTAAGATAGTATACAAGCTTAACGTGATGCACTGAGAATTTCAAGGTGTTACCAGGATTTCATAAAGAAAAATCATCAGTTCTCCCTCTCTTGTCAGCAATATATCCATTCATTCATTATATTTTCATGCATTGATACACCAGACACAATAGTAATTCATCTAACTATAATTATATTTAGATTACAAAGTTATGCAGCAGATGTTCATGTTGGGTTGTAACAAGATGGGTGATTTCAATTTTACTTCTGTTGCGATAATTCAGTGTAACGGCCATGCTTAGTTTTTTAATAAAAACTTCAAATATTGACTAAGTTTACGTAAGTAAAAAAAAAACTGTTTCAGAATAAGAAAAGAAAGAAAAACACAACTGTAAATGCGCCAATAATCTAACCATGAGCAAACAGATGAAAGTTGGGAGGGGTGCACTAGTGCTGGGAAGAGGGTGGGGAGTGCGGAATTCCAAGGAGGTAGGTTGGGAAAGGGGTGGAGCTTGGACCCTTAACTCAAGGTCTAAGTAGTAGCCAGAGGGCTATAAAAACGTGGAGGAGCCAGGCAGGGAAAGCAACCGAAGGTGTAGGATTTGCACGCAAACGGAGGCCGGTAGGCAACAGCAGCTGCAGTATCTCCAGAAAGACTGAAACGCCCACAGCAACACAGATCAGGTCCAGGATGCCGCGCCTGCTCTTGTCCCACCTGCTAGGTGTCTGGCTGCTACTGAGCCAACTTCCTAAGGAGACCTCAGGCGAGCGTTCAAACGACTTCGTTAAGGCATGCGGCCGCGAATTAGTCCGCCTCTGGATCGAAATCTGTGGCTCTGTCTCCTGGGGGAGACCGGCTCCGAGACCGGCTCCAAAACCCGCTCCGAGACCCGCTCCGAGACCCGCTCTGAGCCAGGACAAGAAGCCTCGGCTGAGATCTGGACCGCCAGCAGGTGAGAGCTCCCACCCCGGGTTCCCACTGGTTGCTGTCGGTCGGCCGACCAATCGGAACGGTAGCCCGCCCTACCTCGAGACTTCATTGGCTGCCGCGCTCAGCCCTTAACTCTAAAGCCGGTGCCTCCAAGTTTGGGCTTTTGCCTTGTATCTTGCTTTTTCAGTGAGGAGCTCACCAAGGATTGCACCAGAGGGAGGGAGGGAAAGCCCCGAGACCAGAAAATGGTCTCACCTGAGAGGTTCTTGTTGCCCTTCACCTCTTGGCAGTCAGGGTGACGGTGTAAGGAGAAGGGGGAACACAGACCAGGTAAGTGTCCAAAGACCGCAGGAGGTGGGGCGTACTCGGAGGGATCCTAGAGACAAGATCCCAGGGCATGAGGGCAGGCTTGCTGGCAGCTGGGGCAACTGGACTGGGCATCTCGACCTGGGGCGACAGGGGGCAAACAGTGAGGTGTGAGCTGGTTATCCAGTATTTGCACACCAAAGAGCATAGGGCAGAGACCTCTAATTGGGTCCTGAAGTGGTAAACACGAAGAGCCGTCGATTT